TGTGGTAGGGGGTGGGGGGGGACACCATGATGACCAGATGTGGGGGGGCAGTGGGGGACACGGCGGCAATGACCAGTATAGGGCCTCCGAAGGTGCGTTGTAGCACCATCAGCCTGGAGTGACACTCCTCACATGGTGGGTGGAGCTCCAAGCGGCGTTGGTTTCACGTGAGCTTAACTTCCTGGTTTAGAGGAATCGGGTTTACTTCCCCGTTAATTCACCCCGGGAGAATGGGAACTTCATCAGCTCTTTTTGATAAGTATTTGGATATTAATTAGGCAGCTGAGTTCTGAACTAAGAGGTATTTTTACATTTTGGCAGCTACTTTGTCTAACCTGTGTGTGGCTTAATAAAAACAAGGCGGCCAGCTCCAAGAGAAGGTGGCAGCCTGCTGGCCTGTTGATCCACCCACATTTATGCAAATCTGTGAGTAAACAAGGCTGCTGGGTTATTTTTGGTGAGGTTTCCCAGTAGTGGGCCATTTTGCTGTGAATCTACCTGAACGAAAATGCCAGGAGGAGCGAACTATCTGCAAAGTTCAGGCCGACTCTCTCGCTAACAGGCTTTGGCCAGGGTGAAAGGTCATCGCAGATGGCAGACATGGTGGAGGATTTACAGACCGGTTCTCTCTTACTCTCTTCCACAGTTCTGCCCAGTCACACGTGTGGGAACCCGGGTCTGATCCCAAAGGGAATCATCCATGGGTCACGCTATAACATCGGCGACAAGATGCGCTACAGCTGTGTGCCTGGTTATGTGCTGGAGGGCCACGCCCTGCTCACGTGCATCGTCAGCCCGGGCAGTGGTGCATCCTGGGATTTCCCAGCTCCGTTCTGCAGAGGTAAGGAGTGCCGTGTGTTTCCTGATCCTATGTGAGAAACGTTTATCCATTGTTGATGTCAGATGCCATAAGGTTATACTGATACCCCGTGAGGCTTGGCAGTGGAAAGAGCTCTCTGATTGGCTGTTAAGTGCTTTTACAGTGCTTATTTCACATTACGTAATTCATGTGAAATAATCGCAGCCACTGGGAGCAGTGAATGTATCAGGCTTTTCAATGGTGCAGACAAATGGCTTCCACCCCCGTGCAGGTGAACCCCCGGCTTCTTTTGTGGGGGATCCTGGGTGAATTCTTATACCCAGTGAATCCTTATACCCAGTGAATTCTTATACCCAGTGAATCCTTATACCCAGTGAATTCTTATACCCAGTGCATCCTGGCCTCTCTTAGTTTGGGAGGCGGTAACAGAGTCGTCCTGGATGACAGTCACGCGGCCTGGGAGCAGTCGATTATTTATTTAATTTTTATTTGTTTTCCAGAGAATTACATCATGGAGGTCATTGGGGTTTCATAAGTCTCTAAAGTAACTTTTATAACCGATGACAGGAGCACTAAATATGGCCAATGCTTCACATTGAGCGGCGGCGTGAGTCATTCTGCGTTTTACTGTGACCTCAGAACCATCCACAGCTTTCAAAGCCCTTTGAGTGTCTACACTTCCACACGCGTGTCAGGACCCTTAATATGAGACAGGAATAAAGACAGATGTTGCTGGATTCTTTAACGAGATCCTTTCTTAACATTTTGTACATGAGTACATTTATGCCAGTTAGGTGTACAGAGTGAGACAGCAAAGGCACTCACAAAACATTGAACAAGTGTGCATATAATAACTTAGAACTGTAGAAGTAGGACTATATGAAAATGACATGGAACAAATGGTTTGAATAGAAAATATGGTTGAATAAAGTATAGTATTGCCCTGTCCAGCAAAGCGTACTGTGCATTTATGAAACTCCAAGTATTATGGGTGTTTTTGCAGGGAGATAAGAACTGTTCCTAAACTGGTTGTTGGCCATTCTGACACTGCTATACCTTCAGCAGAACCTGTGAGCAGGGTGAGTTGTGTCATGCAGGATCACGGCAGTCCTGTTTCTGCAGTGGGTTTTCTCTCTAGACTCAGTAAACGGGAGGAGAGCCCTAGATGGACCAAGCATGGTTCCCTGCTCTCTGTCGTGATCTCCTCTTCTGAATGGAGCTGTTGGTTTCTCTTAGTAATAATTTGCTGGAGAAAAACAGATTGCAGCTCCCCCCTCTTTAATCCCTCAGATGTAAAGATTGTTGGTAATACAATGTAGAAAGAGTTTAAATGAAACAGACATTAGAACAGAAATGCTTCTGCGGCCCGTTTACTGTTATGCTTTCTAGAAAAGGCTGCTACGCAATATTTTTTAATCACTTCGCCACATAGTTAATAGAAGTTTTTGCTTTCAGTGAAGAGAATTTAATCGGGTTTTAATTTATTGTATAAATGAGATACATGGTTGATGTGTTTTGTAATTATATATGTTATAATGCTGAGAGCTATCACTGCTCAACCAACAAAAGGACTCTTGGGGGCTCTAATAAGAAGCTTTCTAACCGAAGACGCTGCTAAATCGATTCATCTGGAAATTTCCTCCGGGGCTGATGTGCCACGTGTTATGGGAGCGAAGGTGTGTGCTGGAGAATGGAGACAATCTCCATCTGTCACAACGCCTGTTGTTTTTTCCGTACCTTATGCAGGAATGAGAGGTGAGATACGGGGTTGGTGTAGCGATGACAACCAGGTTAACAATAGGGTAAACAAGCTAGTAAACAAGCAGGTAAACAAGCAGGTAAACAAGCAGGTAAACAAGCAGGCAAAGGTGAAAATAAATAACATACAATGGGTAAGAGCAGCGACTCTGCATGGAGGAAAATGGCAGGTTGTCATTTTGAGATAATAGAGGGAAAAGGCACAATGCCATCGATTTCGTTGGGGGCATTTTGTGTCATGTGTGCACTACGTTTGGGTCAAGCCTGCTATACCCTATAAGTCAGCCTGACACTTTGATTGGCCACTTGAGCAGCTGACTGGGGCGTGGGACTTGGCCAGTCCTGATGTTTGCTGTTTGACTGGCTAATCCGAGGGCCAGGGTGCCTGAACACCAGCTAGGAGGGATTTTTAACGTTCTGAGCTCGAGGAAAAGCCAATGCCATCATTCTGATTCTGTGGGGCTGAATGGTTTCCGGAAGCCTGCACACTCAGCTCCCAGATAATGGAAAACTGTCAGGATTAATGCACAGCTCGTCTTTTACGTTCTCTCAGTGCCTTTGATTCCTCTGCACTGCATTTCGTACCTCCGTGGTTGGCTTGGAGCTGGGCACCATGGGGGGTGCAGTGGGGGCTCTGGACAGGTAGCTGCTTGGTGGACCACCCAGATCACATCATCGCCATTTCAGATAGGCTGTGACAGAAATGCTGTTGGACTTAGATGGAGTCACATTGCTTCCTGACAAAGACTCTAAAGATGCTAAACAAGTTGCTATTTATGGTATGAAACTGTAAGAGTCAAACAAGTGAAGCTCTGCCAGATGTTTATTTTCCTCGATGGTCCTAATTAAACCTGTAATTCACTGTGATCTCAGTCTTTTGCATGTCAAGCCTGCAGGAAGTACACAAGCTCTTAAGGGTTACCCCCACCCCCAACTATCAATTATGTTGGTGCGAACCATAAAAATTGTCTCCATTACATTTGTGACAAGAAAATAAATGCCTTTACATTATACAATGGCACATGAAGAACCATTAACACTTTGTTTTAAATCACACTCAGAGGCTGATTTAAAGCCCCTCTTCTGCTGGAATTAACTTGAGTGTAAAATGAACCTATCATTTGAAATTCATGCCTGACATGTCAGATTTGAGCAGCAATTTTTTAACGATTTCTAACAAACTGGTTAAATGAGAAGATCACAGAATAACCTCTGGACACTTCAGCTCGAACGTTTCGACCCTGCCACGCCAAAGATCCCATATCCCATAACATTGTGTATGTGTGTGTGTGTGTGTGTGGCTTATGTTCTTATTACATTATGGGGACCAAATGTTCCCCACATTGTAATAAAAACTTGTTATTCAGGTCCCCAGAAAGATCTGTGAATGCAATCTAAAAACTAAAAATGCCAAAAGTCTGGTTACTGATGGCTAACGTTAGGGCTGGGTAGGGGTTAAGGTCGTCATGTTGGTTTTAGAGTTTTCCCCATAGAAATAAATGGAGAGTCCCCACAAAGATATAATTACAATCCTGTGTGTATACGCCTGATCATGAGTGTGAAACCTAGCAGAAAATCCCATTACCTCGCTGCCATGCTGGTTTCATGGTAATCTCAGCCTTGACATCAGCCCTGATTTGAATTGCATCAGCCTGGTCTGAAGTGTATGTATGCCTGTGGTGTGGGGGGCAGTCACCGTGTGTAAGTGGTTAGAAGTGGCAGCGCTGGAGTCACACGGCATGTACCCTGTTCCCTCTCTCCTTCATTTTTATGATCGTCATCCTTTTCTTGACATGTGAACATGCACACGATTCTTGATGCAATGTCTAGTGATTAATCCTGTGTTAAGGCAGGATGGAAGCAAACAGTGTTTCTAAAGCCGCGTATCACCCTCTACCCTGAGCCTCTGATTCTGTGCAGTCCTGCTTCTCTGGCTACATGGCCTGTAGCACTCCTGGTGGGTGCATCTCCCCCACTTTCTGCTTTCTCCTTGGTGTACAGCGGAGGGGGCGTGTGGGGGAACCCTCAGGGGAACCACAGGCACCATCAGCAGCCCCCACTTCCCATCAGAGTATGAGAACAACGCTGACTGCACGTGGAGCATCCTGGCCGAACCGGGAGACACCATCGCACTGGTGTTCACTGACTTCCAGCTGGAAGACCGCTATGACTTCCTGGAGATCAGTGGAACAGAGGCTCCATCTATATGGTGAGTTACAACCTCAGCTGTGAATACAGCTCACACTGTCACTGTGATTACCCATATCGCTAACACTGACACTGCAAATACCCATATCGCTAACACTGACACTGCAAATACCCATATCGCTAACACTGACACTGCAAATACCCATACCGCTAACACTGACACTGG